CCAAACTATTATAATGCTTATTTACTTCATGAGATCATTACGGACGTCGATTCGTGCCGCGAACATCGCAAAACTCTTTTAATTCCTCTCATATTGCCTCGAGGCGTTCTCTCCGTCGAGTTCTCTCCGCTTTTTTTTTTTTTTTTTTTACGATTCACAAATATTTTTGTTATTACAATTTATAAACGAATGTAAACGAGCTACTATGCGAAGAAAGAGAGAAAGAGAAAGGCGGGCAAATAAGAAGAAACAAGAGAGAAATATATATATATATATAAATGTATATAAAGAAAGATGGAATGGAGAAGAAAGTGAGATATTTAGCTTAAAGACGAATCTTTCTTTTTTACTTTCAAAAGACGGTGAATAAAATACGATTTTTCGATGAAAATTAGTATACAAAAAAAAATGGATGATGATCGAATAAAAAGGTTGCCTCGACAAGCCTCGATAGCGAAAAAATTATCTTTGGTCAGAGAGATCTATCCCTTTCCTTTGCTTTTTTTGAAAATTTTCCTCGCTTCTTTCTTAACCGTTTACACGCCGTGTCGACGCGCTGAATCGATAAAAAAAAAAGGAATACATTAAATATTATATACATATATGCGCGTTTAAATAATTTTCTTTTTTTAAATATCGTACTATAAAAAAACATTATTAAATACGAACACAATTCTCGACAATCGTTCGAGAAGGAATACATATCGAATTTTCCCTGTTTTCCTTCTGAAATATGCAAAACCGAGAAGAAGAGAAAGAACCGAAAGCTATTCGCGTCAAGAGTAGCGGCTCTGTAAACGATTAATCTCTCTCTGCGTTCTCTAATCATTCACAGGCAATCCATTGTGTATATATATCTGTGTGTACGCTATGTGTATATACGTGTGTTCGATCATTACGTGAAAGAAAAGAATAATTAATCGAAGGGGATAAAGAGAAAAGTACGGAAGAATGCGGTGAAGATAAGGAGAAAAAATGAAAAAGAAGAGAGAGAGAGAGAGAGAGAGAAAGAGAATTGTAGAGATAAATGAATCGTCAAAAAAACGTTGAATACTGTAATAGAGTAACTCGTCATTTTCCCTCGTGGTTTCGTTCGCTCGTGTGCTACGGCATGACTAATCAAACGACTTCTTTTTTTTTTCTTTTTGTAGATTTATAAGAATCTATCGAATCTTAAAGATTTCTTACAGAGATTGTCACCCCTCAAAAAAATATTTCGATATCCGTTAAATGAAACATTGAGGTGTACACATCTTGAAAATTATTTGACAATTTCTCTAAAAAAAATCTTCTCGAAACGATGAACGAAGAATAACGTATAAAGCGAAGAACGAACGAAGAAAACGCTCGGTGGCGCCATCTCTAATCCCGTCTACGTCTAAAAGATCGTTTCTAAAAAACGATCGACGCTCGCGAGGACTCGCCCTTTGATTAAACTTTTCAAGTGATATGTGGGGACGTTGTTGAAAACGCGTCGCTGTTGGTCGAAAAGTCTAAAGGTGTGTGTGTGTGTGTGTGTGTGTGTGTGTGTGTGTGTGTGTGTGTGCGCGCGCGCGCGCGCGCGCGCGCGTGTGTGTGTGCTTGTTCGCTGCTTCAATCGTAATTAATTAATTTCTCTTAATACCGTCGGATCCACCTGTCCTCCTCCACCTCTTTTCCTCTCTCGATCGCGAATCAGTCGCTGCACAACTCCACGAGATTTACAAAGAAAAAAAAAAATTTGTTTCCCTTAAACGAGCGTTTAAATCTACAGATTGGACAGATATCGAATCGATTTCGCGTTAACTTCTCGGCCAATATGCGATCGAGAGAAACATGCGACCGACACTCTTCCATAGAAACGCAATTACTCCGAATCATATATACGAATATACGATAATTTTCAGAGCGCGCATATACACAATTACATAATTAAAGAGACACCGTTAATTTACAAACGCTACACGTATATCTCAGATGTTTTTTTCTTTTTTTTTTCTTTTTTTTTTTTTATCTTTTTGTCGTTTTGCTCTCCCTTCTTGCTCTCTTTCGTGCAAATATCGATAATACAATTACGCGCGCTCCACTCCTCTCTCTTTTTTTTTTTTCGTAAAACGTATAGACGCTTTCGTATGTACGCATGCGTACATACAAATATATATATATATATATATAATATTCATATATATAATATATATCAGCCCTTTTTTTTTGTTTCTCATCTCGATAATGCATATATGTGTTATACATCTATTTTATATATATAATATGCGATCACAGACACGTGTAATTCGCGTGTATAGAGTTTGCTCATTTCTTTTTCCATTCTACTTCATTTTTTTTTTTTTTTCTTTTTGTGCCACACGTTCTCTTCCGTGTATACCTTAACGACTTAATATGGATTTGATTTGTTTAAACAGCCTCTCTGTCCTTCTTCTCGCACATTAATGCCGCGCGTACGTTCTACTGTTTTTTTTTTTTTTTTTTCTAATCATTTTTTGATGATCAGAAGGGGCGAACATATTTATTCTTATTAAATGTTTCTTTTGTCTTCGCTTTGTCTTCTTTTATTACGAGCTTCCTACGTCGTTATGATAAAACAACGTTACGCGAAAGGCATGAAAATTCGTTGATAAAACGCACGCGCGTAAACGGACAATCGTTTCGAGTCTTCGTTCTCTTATTTCTTTTTTTTTTTTTTTTTTTTTTTTTTTTATTTGTTTGTTTCACGATCGTTCGCCCCTTCGCTTGGTCCATGCCATTTATTTCTTTCTTTTACGTCGTTTAAAAATCGATTCGACTCGCGAACGCTGTACCATCGTTATACCAAAAAGATTGAACGCGCGACCACGTGAGCAAGTTTACCCGCACGTTTTAAGCTCGTCGAAAGACGCCTAGCTTTCGGACAAAAAGGGACGAAGAAATTTTGTTTGAAATGTTTGGTACAGCGCGCGCGACTCACGCGCCTCCTACTATGTACTTCTTTTCTCCCTTTTTATCTTCTTTTTCTTCTTCTTCATCTTCTTCGCTCGATTTTTCGCTCGAGAATGATACATTGTCGCAATATTTCTGGGTTGGTGACGGTAGCGCCATGATCCATCGTAAATAAACACAGCCGATAGGCATTGCTTGTCTCTGCGCATGCGCGCATCCCAGCGGCCCGCCAAACTGCGACGATTTGAAATTAACCGCGCCTCGGGGCCGCACATGCGCTCGCGCGCAGATCGTCCTACGATCTAAAGACTTCGTTTTTATCACACCTGTGCTTCTCGACACACACGAATACGACGAAAACGAAGGTACACTTTTTTGTCATTTTTTTTTTTTTTTTTTTTTTTTATATTATAGCTTTCTCATTATACGATAGTCAATGAAATTAAACGAGGTTAAAACATATATAATATGTACAGCGCGAAACGCGGCCATAGCGCGAAAGACAAATTGTTCCTTTTCCTTTCTTTCTTTTTTTTTCTTTTTTCTTTTTTTTTCCTTCCATTTACATTCTCGCTTCTCCTCGCCGCATTTCATCCTCGTCTCTCGCACGTGTCGCGCTGTCTAATCGGACGAAGACGGCGATGAACGACGAGACCCGTTCGACAATTTAGCCATTCCCATAATTTGAAACACAGTGTACTAATACATTTCTTAATTTTATCCTTACGATTAATTGCAGTGCCGTATCAGCAAATCGTCTCGATATACAAAATACCGCGAAGAAAGACGGACACCCACATACTTCTCTCCCTTTCCCCTTTATCCCAAACTTCATGCTTCGCCCTCTAAACGCGTTAGTTAGTAATAAAACATAGAAAAAGGAAAATGAAACATAGAAAAAGGCGCATAAAAAAAAAAAAAGGAGGAATCGCCCACATACTGCAATAATCACTATATCTTCTATGGTACACGTGTGCGAGTGTTGTAAAACGGAAAGCGGGAAGGTACATCGTCGAAAAGCGTCTAGATATTTCCAACTCTATCAAAAGATTGCTATGGTCGGGGTAAGGGGTAAAAGCTTCAACAGATCTGAAACGATATAACGAAACGCGCAAATAACAATCTACTACACAAGATATTCTTCGCGAACATAGAAAAATACGAGTGTCTATTTACAAAACAAATGATAAACCTTTCTCTCTATCTTTCTCTCTCTCTCTCTCTCTCTCTCTCTCTCTCTCTCT